TTCTCCTATAGTGTGATGAGAAATTAATGGAGAAAGTGTAAGCTTGGGTCATACTGGGGAGAAGGATTAAATCACAGTTCTGACTCTTCTTCATGAGTCCTTAGCCAAGGTAGTTTCTCTTTCCATCTCTTTCTTTTCTGAGACAGGATTTTCCTGTGTAACAAACAGCTCTGGCTGTCCTGAAACTGTCTTTGTAGACCAGTCTGACCTGAAACTCACTGAGATCCACCTGCCTCTGCCTCCCAAGTGCTGGAATCAAACCCATGGGTCACCATGCATAGCCAATGTGCAAATCGTGAAGAGTGCTTTTTTTTTTTTTTTTTTTTTTACAAGCAAACCAAATTCATACCATGTCTCATGAATGTCACACATATTCAGGCCACGATGATTGAGATGGCAGACTCAAGTCATGTTCAGTTGCTCATGTTTATAAATGTTAAATGAGATCTAAAACTTAGTTCCTCAGCCACCATTGCCACATTTCAAGTGCTTGATAGCCACATAAGGCTAGTGGTTGCTGACTGGGCAACACATGTAAAAAATATCACCCTTGGGGCTAGAGAGGTGGCTTGGTGGTTAAGATCACATATTGATTTTTCCAAAGGACCCAACTTCAATTCCCAAAACCCACATCTGGCTGCTCATATAAGGTGGCTCTCACAACTACTATAACTCCAGCACTAGGGGATCCAAGGCCTCTGGCCTCCAAGGGCACCCCCCGCCCCGACACACACACACACACACACACACACACACGTGGCATACAAACACATGCATATACATGATTTAAAATGATTAATAAAAAGAGATTTCTTACCCCTCAGGGAACTATGCAGGACATGGGTATAAGGAGATAGGGTCTGCCAGAAAGCAGGTGCTAACTCTCATGAACCAGGTATTTAGTGGGAACTGTGTGTAGGCCCTGTTCCAAGCAGAGATATTATTTAAAACAAGTTTCCCTGAGGTGGGAACAATGGCACACACTTAGAATCTTAGGTAGAGGCAGAAGGATTGTGAGTTCAAGGCCAGCCTGGCTGCACAGCAAGACTATATGTGTCTCAAAGCAAAGTATAAAGTCATTACCCTTAAGGAAGGGTTGTTGTTACTATAACCATGTTTTTAATGTTCCCAGGGAGTGTGAAAATGCAGAGTGGCACTCCGGAGTAGTGGTACAGGGTCACTGGCATGGTTTTGAGTCTCAGCTGAGTGACATGTACATATTTATCTCCTCTTCTTTCTGGGGCTTACAGCCCTCTTCCGTGAAATGGTGTCCTTGTCTACTTTCCATTACTGTAATGGTGTATCTGGTGGCAATTTGAAAAAAAGGGTTTATCTAGAAGTTGGACATTTGTACAGTATAGCCCCCTCTCTGCCTGGCTCTGGTGATGGTGTCACGGGAGATGGCATCATGGCTGGGGCATTTGTAGGAGTCAGAGATTGTGTTTTGATTTATATGGAAAAACAAAAGACCCAGGATAGCCAAAACAACCCTGTACAATAAAAGAACTTCCGGAGGCATCACCATCCCTGATTTCTATTATAGAGCTATAGTCATGAAAACAGCTTGTTATTGGCACAAAAAATAGACAGGTAGACCAATGGAATTGAGTTGAAACCCCTGATATTAACCCGCACACCTATGAATGCCTGATTTTTGACAAAGAAGCCAAAGCTATACAATGGAATAAAGAAAGTATCTTCAACAAATGGTGCTGGCATAACTGGATGCTGGCATGTAAAAGACTGCAGATAAATCCATGTCTATCACCATGCACAAAACTTAAGTCCAAATGGATCAAAGACCTCAACATAAACCCAGCCACACTGAACTTATTAGAAGAGAAAGTAG